ATTTCGAATGCGTTTCCTACGTTTTCTTCCTTACTTGAGATATACATTCGCCAATTTTTAAGTGTAAAAATACTCGTGATACGAATCACCAAATACGCTTTTTTTTTTTTCACTCGACCACTATTTTTGTATAACTCCTCGTTATATTAGTCTCTTATTTAAATATGCTTAAACGTGCTCTGTTCGTTCATCGAGGATAACTCGATAATTAATTCTTTATCTCTTTTTTTTTTTTTTTTCTTTTTTTATTCTCTCCCTTTGGAAACTTCGATAATCAAACAGAGAACCAAATATCATCGATCGTACGCTAATATATATATATATATATATATATTATATATATATATTATGTATAATATCGGCAGTCCATTGCCAAATTAGCAACGAGATATTATAATTATAATAATAATAATAATAATAATAATAATAATAATAATTATTGTAAAGAAACAATGGAATAAACGTTTTCCGTTCAAAACGACGGAACGAACACCCGGGAACCATGAAGGACTACCATGAAGATCGATCATCGTATGGTCTCTCTGACAATATCAGGCAATATGTGATCGGGTAATCAACTCGTTTAACTTCACTTCATATGGACATTATAAACCGGCAAGTATAGAATCTTCTCTGTTAATCGTCGCATCCGCGATTGGATAGGATGACATAGGTTATTTCGTTATGTCCCTTCCTTCTAGAATCGCGAATATTTCCTCGCTTCTTTTCAATGTTTCTTTTCTCTTTTTTTTTTTTTTCCATTTTTTTTTCTTTTTACCTTTTTCTTCCTTTTTTATAAAACATAAAGAATGTATACGGATGTATGTTTCTTGTGTACGTGTATGTGTATACGTGTACGCGTGCACGTGTATATTCACATAGTATATTCTTAAACGCAACAATAACTCGACGAACGTTCGTCGAGAATTTACCATTGCCATTATCCCCTCCCCTTCCTCCTCGCGTTCTCGAGTCGTTGCCCCCTCTTCTTTTTTTTCACATCGTTTACTTCGTTTTCACATCTTCTCCTCCCTTCTATTTTCTTACAAATACTAGATTTTTCATAATATTTAATATATATATATATATATAT